TCGTTCGGAAAACACCGGACCGCAGGCAAGAAGAAAGTTCTTAAGTTCAGGCTTTATTGAGAGAAAAGAGCCTCCGGGCGTGCCAGCCGGGACGAAAAGGAAAAATGGCCGCGCCGCTCAGAGGGGCAAGGTAGTTTTATAGGGATTGAAGGGCTGAAGGAGTGGAAAAGTTGGGGGCCGAGGTGGTGGGCAACTGTTGGCCAGTTTGAACCGCTAGGCGGGAAGCCGGGGAGTGCTGATGAGGCAGAAGCGGCGGGAGGTGGCTGCGGCGGCGGGAAGGCCAAGGCGGTATGTAAAGATAGGAGAGCCTCTTTGTGGGGGGAGGGAAAGAGAGAGAGAGAGCTTTCACGGTAGAGGCAGAGTTTTCCAAACACTCCTCTTCTTTCATCTCAACAAATTTTCCTCACCGGCCCATCATCACAGTCATTGCATTGTGGACACAGCACAGAAAGGGATGCTGAAACTGGCAGAGGATGTACACCTGACTGTCATTTTAGCCTGCACCTCCTACTCACCGTGTATGCTTCCATCGTTACAGTCTTCATCAGAGCCTTCTTGACTGCCTTCTTAGTTGTTATTCATATCATTGCTTTACATGTGCTTTGTATGAATTCTGGTATGTAATCTCCATGTCAACTCGATGACATAAGTGACACTACTATTCCTGTACAGCATGCAAAGACTTGCAGAGATTAGAAACATGCTAAAGTGTATGCTGTGATTCATACCTGTACCCTGGCTGACTCCAGAACCCTGAGCAAAATGTCACGGAACCTTCATAACAACAAACAGTTAACATTATTTAAGAGAAGGGCCATTCCCTTATCATCTACAATACTTATTAATATGTCATATACAGAGACAATATTGATAAGCATCTGTTGATAAAACAAATTCGAATGTCACGTGCTAAGAGAAGTAAAACCTGCTTATTCGTGACCAAGGCTTCTATTTCTCAGAGCTAGAAGTTTTGAATTCTGGCACGAGTTCTTCTCTTTCCTTGGAATACCATCAACCCATAATTTCTCTAATCTTTGGGATGTCAGAGATCGGCCCCCACTTTCTACCCAAGACTGGTTACATACACCTTGACCACGTTCTTAGGAGTTGAGAGTCTTGGTTAGGAAAGTGTCTACTGAATAAACCAGAGTGATTGACTTGCAGTAGTCATCCTACATCCATCTGTTTAAGGCATTCTTTATTCCCATAAAAACAATTTCTATATAATAAAACAGAAATTGCATTATTTGAGATATAGATAGTGTCTCCTGCATGTATCATCATTTCTGCTTGCCTCTTCAGGGCTGAGGGGAAGTTACATGTACATCTATAGAGGTATCAAAAAATGAAAGTATGTACAAATGACCCTCATCTTGAAAGTTAATGAGGAAAGAATTGGGGACAGTGTTCTATTATCTGAAGGGCAAAAGAGGAAGAAAGAAGGATGGAAATAGCAAATAGTGAGAATAAAGATGAAGGCTGGAAAACAGGAAGAACTGAAAAGATCATAGGATTTGGACTGAGAGAAGTCAGGATTTCACAGCAATATCTGCCATGTCCAGACAGGTGAACAGTGGCACGTTCGGTAAATTCTGTTTTGGGCTTTCCTTATGCGAAAACTTACATCAATCTTGTTTAAAATTCTTAGAATTAAATAGACAATAAACTTAAAAAGACAGGATCTTTCACGTAGCCGGAGGTTAAAATATAGCTACCAGCTTTAACTTTTGATATAGAAACATTTAAAATAATTTTTAAAAAATAAACATAGTTTGTATTCCTTAAAGAGAGAAAGAAACCCTCCAGTAATGTCTTCCTACGTTTACAAGTGTAATCTCTGATTCTGGGGTCAAAAATTCTTGGGAACGACGAGGGCAGCTAAGTACTCAGGACAGCACAGGAGAGGGGCTCTGCACACATACGGACTGTCTTCCCGGAAGAATAACACACAGGACACATGCGGACTGTCTTCCCGGAAAAAAAACACACAGAATGGACACATGTGGACTGTCTTCCCGGAAGAATAACACACAGAAGGACACATGTGGACTGTCTTCCCGGAAGAATAACACACAGAACGGACACATGCGGACTGTCTTCCAGGAAGAATAACACACAGAACGGACACATGTGGACTGTCTTCCCAGAAGAATAACACACAGAAGGACACATGCGGACTGTCTTCCTGGAAGAATAACACACAGAACGGACACATGCGGACTGTCTTCCAGGAAGAATAACAGAACGGACACATGCGGACTGTCTTCCCAGAAGAATAACACACAGAACGGACACATGTGGACTGTCTTCCCAGAAGAATAACACGCAGAACGGACACATGCGGACTGTCTACCCAGAAGAATAACACGCAGAACGGACACATGCGAACTGTCTTCCCGGAAGAATAACACACACAACGGACACATGCGGACTGTCTTCCCAGAATAATAACACACAGAACAAACACATGCGAACTGTCTTCCCGGAAGAATAACACACACAACGGACACATGCAGACTGTCTTCCCAGAATAATAACACACAGAACAAACACATGCGAACTGTCTTCCCGGAAGAATAACACACACAACGGACACATGCGGACTGTCTTCCCAGAATAATAACACACAGAACAAACACATGCGAACTGTCTTCCCGGAAGAATAACACACACAACGGACACATGCGGACTGTCTTCCCAGAAGAATAACACACAGAACGGACACATGTGGACTGTCTTCCCAGAAGAATAACACACAGAACAAACACATGCGGACTGCCTTCCCGGAAGAATAACACGCAGAACAAACACATGCGGACTGTCTTCCCGGAAGAATAACACGCAGAACGGACACATGCGGACTGTCTTCCCAGAAGAATAACACGTAGAACGGACACATGCGGACTGTCTTCCCAGAAGAATAACACACACAACGGACACATGTGGACTGTCTTCCCAGAATAATAACACACAGAACGGACACATGCGGACTGTCTTCCCAGAAGAATAACACGCAGAACGGACACATGCGGACTGTCTTCCAGGAAGAATAACACACAGAACAAACACATGCGGACTGTCTTCCCGGAAGAATAACACACAGAACGGACACATGCGGACTGTCTTCCCAGAAGAATAACACACAGAACAAACACATGCGGACTGTCTTCCCAGAAGAATAACACACAGAACACACACATGCGGACTGTCTTCCCGGAAGAATAACACGCAGAACAAACACATGCGGACTGTCTTCCCAGAAGAATAACACGCAGAACGGACACATGCGGACTGTCTTCCCGGAAGAATAACACGCAGAACGGACACATGCGGACTGTCTTCCTGGCTTAGTATCTTTTAGCTCTTTGCTATGTTTCGGAATATATATATATATATATATATATATACAGACACATACATACATATATATACATTTCTGCTTATTTATTGAAAGCAAATTATATACATGAGAATCTATGTGTAGAAATAAAATAGTATCCTACAGTAGCCCCAATACCATTTTTATGCTTTGAATACAACAATAATTCCTCATAATTTGTATCACTAAGACTATATTTAAAATTTCCAATTATCAAAAAATATTGTTCATAATGGCTTTTGTGTTGGACAAGAATCTGATCAAATTTCATTCAATTCATTTGGATTTAATTTCTCTTTTGCCTCTTTAAATCTAGAAAATTCCCTACAATTTTTATTTATATTTATTATTGTTTTGCCAAACATTGAAATTTGAAGAGCACAGGAGTATGTGTTGAGCACATCTAAAGGCTGAGTGTGCCTGAGTTGTTTTGGCAGATAGTTCTGTAACCCCAGAATTCCCTGTAAACTAGACGTGAGATTATCTGCTTAGAATCAAGTTGCACCAGTTCAGCAAGAATCGTTGCTGGTTGAATTGTGCGTCTCCAAAGAAGATGCACTCGCCTCCTTAGATTATGACCTTAGTTGTAAATACGATTACTGCTGATGTCGTTAGTTACAATGAGGTCACAATGGAGTACGGTGGCCTCTGGTGTCCTTGTAAAAAACTGTGAAGACAGATCTACTCAGGAGAACATCCCGATGACAAAGGCAGACATGAGTGGTAACCAGTTGCAAACCAGGGACTGACAGTGCCAGTTCCTCACCAAAGCCTGGAGCGACAATGAAGACCTGCCCTACAGGCTTCAGAGGAACCATGGCCCTGCTGATGTCTTAAATCCTGACGTACTTGAAGCATCCTAGTCTGTGGCACTTGGTTAAGGCAGTCTAGAAAACTAGTGTCAGAGCAAACTAAATATGGCCTGAGAAGGACTCTGTACTTCTTTATTTGAGTCCTTGTAGATGAACCGTAACCTAGCTTAATTGTCAGACAAAATCGAAAACCTAAGTTAATAGTGTGCACCTGTCACAGTAGCTGAGTATCTGCCAGCCCAGCGGCTATACTTCAACCACTCGTCCACTGCGGAATGTTAAAAACGTGTTCAAACAGGGCAAAGACCAACCTGTAACCATTCTCTCTGTTTCTGTAACTCACTTGTGATTCCTGTACATCACTTTGCTTTTTGTCTATAAATTTGTTCTGACCACAAGGCATCCCTGGATTGTCTGTGAATCTGTTGTGATTCTGGGGGCTGCCCCATTTGTGGATCAGTCGTTGCTCAGTTAAACTACTTAAATTTAATTCAGCTGAAGCTTTTCTTCCATCACTAGAAAAACAGGCAAGGCGGTGTACGTGTAGATGAACTGCATTGGAGGTGTATGGTGTCACCTCATTATTTATGGGGCGAAATCCGATAACTTGGGGAAGATTGGGAAGCTTAATTATAATGGTATTTTTTGTTTTGTTTTGTGTTCCTTTCCAATTCACAAGTAGGACTAACCTTTGGAACTGTGGAAATATCTGAACAAGTGCTCAGAAAATGACTTTACTGTTCGTTAATAATTGATCATTGTTGACCGAATCAATCGTTTTCTTTCAAGTTGAAAGAGGGTGTTTTCTGGCTTCTTCCATGTTTATGGACTAGTTCTATTCCAAAAAGAGAAATTTTTTCCTCATGAACTGGGGATGAACTATGATAGTTCTACCTAAAGTGCATGAAAAACATTTAGCTGTCACCAGTAACGATGTCAAAGGATGTGCTTTCTCCACCCACCCCAGCTTCACATCGCCATAAACACATGGCTTTTTATGGACCCAATAAAATACAGTGAGTATTCATTTTTGATGTTCATGTATCCCATATTTGGCCGATAGAAGCAACTTGAATCTAACTCTTCTGTGCTTTCAACATACCCTCCTTGGTCTTTTGTATCTTGCTGTTTTCCGGCACAAGACGTTCTAGGATAACTCTGTCCTCTGTCTTAGAACTTCTCCAATTGTTTTTTAGTTCCTGTATCGGAAAAGTGTATTTAGAAATAGTGATTAGATACTAGTCGTTCTGACTGCTTCTAAAGTTTATGTCTTTTAGGGTCGTTCAGCAAAGAGAGCTGGAGTTATTTTCAATAAAAGATCCTTAGCACATAGTCACATTTCCAATTTAAATTTAACATTTCAGGGTATTTTCCTAACTTCTTACGTGCTATTATATCTGTATCCGTTTCTCTTTCTGAAACTGAAAATCTCAGTTTCTTACATAACTTTAATATATATTCTTTTTTTTTTTTTTTTGAGACGGAGTTTCCCTCTTGTTACCCAGGCTGGAGTGCAATGGCGCCATCTCGGCTCACCACAACCTCCGCCTCCTGGGTTCAGGCAATTCTCCTGCCTCAGCCTCCTGAGTAGCTGGGATTACAGGCACGCGCCACCGTGCCCAGCTAATTTTTTGTATTTTTAGTAGAGACGGGATTTCACCATGTTGACCAGGATGGTCTCGATCTCTTGACCTCGTGATCCACCTGCCTTGGCCTCCCAAAGTGCTGGGATTACAGGCTTGAGCCACCGCGCCCGGCCTAATATATATTCTTATATGAGAAATCTCATCATTTGTTTTTATATATTTTTATCTTTTTTCAGTATTCTAATGTTTCCATCACAAGAATTTTACACAGTTATGTTTATTCTTATTTTAAATTTTGTGTTATTGCTACTATAAATTATCTAATTTCTTATGGTTTCTACCTTTTAAGAAAACCTATTTTAAGAGTGCAGGCAAGCTTAGTATCAAATCTTGTGTTGCTGAAAGTGTTATCATTAGAAAACATTCCTGTTTATATTTTCTGCTGCCTGATATAATACAGCTGCTTCATTTGGGTTGTTTTTTTGTTTGTTATGTTTGGCATTTGCCCATCATAAATTTAATTGCTTTTTCCTTAGATTTAAGTATGTCTACCAAAATTCTCCTATATTTATTTTATTTATACATTTTATTTGAGATGGAGTGCAGTGGTCTTGACTCACTGCATCCTCTGCCTCCTAGGTTCAAGCAATTCTCCTGCCTCAGCCTCCCGAGTAGTTGGGATTACAGGCATGTGCCACCATGTCCAGCTAATTTTTGTATTTTTAGTATGGACAGGGTTTTGCCACGAGGTCAGGCTTTGAACTCCTGACCTCAGGTGATCCGCCTGATCACCTTGGCCTCCCAAAGTGCTGGGATTACAGGTGTGAGCCACCATGCTCGGCCTCAAAATTTTTCTTAAATAGGATGATTTGGTCCATTCCTATTCAATGTAATTGCTTATGAGTTTCTCTTACTTCATTCTTTAACTTTCCTTTTGTCTTGATTTTCTTTCTGTTTTATGCCCTACCTTCTCTTTGAATGATTTTTTTCTCCCTCACGCCATTTTCTGTATTGGTTTTTGTGCTCTGTACCCTAATTTTGCCTTTCTATGGGTTATTAAACCAATCTTAAGATTTCTACTTAACTTGTTGAAATCTAAATTAAATCAATAATTTTGTCTTTTTATTTGAAAATAAAAGGAGTTTTTGGTCATTTATACTACAAAATTAAAAATTAGAAAGCTTTTACTCTATTATAATTTTAAAATTAATACCAAGTTCCTTCTAATAGATTATACTATTCCTAAGCCAAAACAAAAATAAATTACTATACAGATCTCTTGATTTGCAGAATTAAAGATCTGAAATATCCCTCCTTTACAGTCAGCAATTTGAGTCTAGATGACTTATGTGAAAATGTCCCTCATTATCACAAAATGTTTATGTCCTGAAGACCACAGTTTTACAGCTTCTTCTTATAGATTTTTGAGCGTTCTCACTCTGGACACAATTACTGTTTAGGGCATAAAAATTGCATTCGGACTGTGATTACGTTGACTTAAGCTGAAGGCTAGTCTGTTTTAAACTGATAATAGCCAGAATTAAGGCCTCAGTCTTTAGGAAGGAGTTTTCTTCAAGATTCATCAATTGGGAAAACGTGCAGATGATCATATGTTTCCATTCACCTTTCTGTAGAGTAAACTACTGTGAGCAAATAATTCATTATAGTTTGCTGCTTTGAGGCACATGAAGGCACCATTGGAAACTGTGTAAGGAAATGTGCTCAGTGACCATTAGTGGTACAGTGACAAGCAGGAGAGCACAGCCGAGGTCCCACCCAGTGCGCTCAGCAAAACATCAGACCACTGTGGAGCCAGGACCAGCACAGCCTCAAACCCTTCAACGAAACTTGCTGGTGGTTCGCAGATCGCCACTTCCTTTCATCTGCAATACAAATGACCTTTTATCTAATATCGAGAAGAGAAGACAATTGCTTTCCGCTGCAGGAAAAACACTGTTGTTCTGCCTTATTGGTGAAGTAGGAGATAAATGATATTCAAAAGTAATAAACTGTGTGTGCAGAGAAAATGACTTCACTCCCTGTGGTGCACTCAGCGCATTATATAGTAAACTTTCATTTGCAGAAAACATTACCTTTTACACTGAATGTCGGAATCTCAAGTGGTAGATATTGAACATTATTTTATATGCTTTTCACTGCCACATGTCTTGGTTTCAGCTTAGAGGACTAGTTTATCAGCGACACATCATGGCAAATTAATAGGTACAGATAAAACCTCCCATAAATATTCATTACATCTCATTACTGCAAATTAATGAGATATTTTTAAATTAAACTTGGTCACATTTGGTACTGAGGATCTTGTTTTAGTATATGACGCTCAGAGATAAATTATAATCTTTAAAATGATTGAGCTCGTTATGAAGAAGTTTTAGATAGGCATTTTAGTAACAATTTAGATAAGGACTAACAACTATTACACTTGATTTAAGAAATTATGAGACATTCTCTTTATATTTTTATACTTCTAAACTACTTGAATAACACTTTAACTGGTCTCACATAATATTGCAAAGCAAATAACTTTACATGTAGGACACTATACTGCGTTTCAATAATTCAGAAAATGTCTGTACTTAGAAGTGCTAGCCATAATAAATCAAATTTAACAGTAAATATAATTTTTTTTGCACAAATAATGATTTTTTCTCATCTGCTTTAAGAATCTGAGCAAATATTCAAGGAACTTTTAGGAAAATAAATGCATATAGGATAAATTTTATAAACCAGTTAGAGCAGATTTCACCCTCTTGGTGAATTATGCAGTCCTCTAAGTGATGACTAGGTAGGAACTATGCATCTACGAAGGCCTCAGGTTCTGCTTTAGTGAGTAACACAAGGGAGGTCTTCCCTGGCCTGCCTGGACGAGAGACAATCATGCAGATTGCATTTGAATTGGGTCATTTTTATGTAACTTGGTTCTCACACCCTCTCTTCAGACACATATCTTTTTAAACATTTATTTTTAAGACAGATCTTCCTATGTCGTCCAGACGGGAGTGCAGTGGCTCTTCAGAGGCAAGTTCACAGATCCTCAAACTCCTGTGCTCAACTGATCTTTCTGCCTCAGCCTCCTGAGTAGCTAGGACTACAGGTGCACATGGCCATGCCTGGCTAGATATAGCTTAGTGAAAGACCTCACTTTTTCTGTTTCTTGACTTATTTCAAAGAGATTCTAGCATTCCTGTTTTTCTGGTATAACTGCTCCAACATAAAAAAAGAGCCTTTGGTTAGCAGCCCTTGATGAGCACGTTTGATGATCCTCTCTCAGCCAGGCACAGGAGCGACACTGCAGCCTCACATGGGAATCAGATCAACCATCCTACAGACACTGATAATGAAATTCAACCATTCATGCAGGATTTGATTACCTGACTGTATTGATCATTTCAGTTCATTCCTCCAATAAATACATTTTAGTCCACATGAAAAAAACCCAGTCAAATGGGTTCATTCAAGTTCACTCCTCCAAAATATAAATTTTAGCCCAAATGAAAAAATATCCAGAGTCAAATGCTCCAAAGCAAAACAAATCCTCTTAAGCTCTCTGAGCCTTTGTTTCATCATCAAAATGGAAGTTACCTGATTAGATAATATCTGAGCTAATTTCTCTTTTAATGTTCTAATATTCTAATTATGTTTAATGCTAATATTTTTAGGAAGCACAATTTTTACATGTTTTATTACATTTACTAGTCTGATATCTTCTACAGTGAAATAATTTTTACTCTTTGGCATTGAAATCTGTATCCCTTTATTCATCAAATATTTACATAGATACCACCTTTAGAATATAAGTTCCCAAGAGAGAAGTTTAGCATGTCTTGTAGACTTTTGTGTCCCTAGGACTCAGAACGAGGCCAAGCACACAGGAGGCGTTTTCTGAACACAGGTGAGTGAGGGCAAGTCTTCTATAAAAGATTCAGCTATAATTACAGGTGTTCTTTTATCATGAAGCATTCATAATCAAGTAGATATGGAAAGAAAGATACAAAAACAGTCATTATACAAGAGATCGTATAGTGAATGTTGTGAAGGTCATTGAGAGAGAATACAGAGAAAGTAGAGAGCTGCCTAGCATTCCCCAAGGGGAAAAAAAATGATAATTTGGATTTTTAAGACATGAACTCCTGAACTCCAGGATAAGGAGTTTGAAATCCAGAGAAATATCTTGCCTATTGTTAACTTCTGTAGCTTTGTTTTAGAATCAGCTTACTTGATACCATCAAAAACAAACAAACAAACCCCCCACGAAAAAAAACAAACAAAAACAATCACAGGATTTGTGGAATGCAGTTGAATACACAGGTCAGTTTGGGGAAAACTGGTATCTCTTCCATGTTACGGCTGTTTATGCATACGCCTATTTTACCTACAACTGTATATGGACTTCCTTTAGCGTGTTCAAGATAAAGCTTCATGCTTCTCCAGAGCAAACTTACACATGTGTTTTTAAATATATTGTTAGTTACAAATATATTTTTCTATTATAAATTACAAGCTTGTGATATGTTTGCTATTTCAGCGTAAAAATCCTATTACTTTTAAGTATGAATCTTACAGTGTGTAACCTAGCTTAATTTCCAATATTAATTCTAGAGATTTGTCTGTAGGTAGACGTTTTTGGGACTGCTACATAAACAATCATATTATGTGTGAATAATGACCATTTTCTTTTTTCCCTTTTTAATTCTCACACATTTTATATATTTTTCTTTTTCCTTTCCTTACTGGAAGATATATATATATATATATATATATATATATATATATATATTTGCTTCATATATATATATTTGCTTCATACTATTTATTTCTAGAAACCCAATGATACACTTTAGAACTTATTTTCTTTATTTTTTACAATTGATTCTTTTTTTGTTTGTTTGTTTTAACAGGTATGATGAAACTGGGAAACTGGTATTGTTTCTGACTATATTTAATAAGAATTTTGATTTAAGTTTTATTATGTCATATGTTTCCTGTAATTCCTTCATCAGGTTATTGAAGTGCTCTCCTTATAGTTTTCTAAAAGTTTTTATTATGCATTATCTCTAATACTTGAATCAGCTTTGAAGATTTATACTTTTCGAGAAAATTGTCCCTGTTTTCTAGGTTTTAAAATGCACGGGCACATTTTTTCATAATAGTCTGTTATCATTTTAGTCTTTATTATGTGCAGTGATAATTCCCATTTTCATTTCCAATATTGGCTCTTTGCCCATTCTCTTTATTTTTCCTTTGACCATCATTGCCAGAGGTTTGTCCATCTTATTACACTTTCAGAAACAAATAACCTGGCACTGTGAATGAGCTCAATTATTCCTTTGTTTTCTATTTTATGTATCTCTGCTTTCATGCTTATTACTTCCTTTCCCCTGCATCTTTGAGTTTATTCTGTGGCTATTCTGCTTAAATATTGTTTCTGCCTCATTCTGTTATATTCTTTTTTTCCCCCTGTTTTCCTCCTCCCCTTTTTTATTGTCTTTCTATACTTGGTTTGGACATTTTCTTTACTTGGTTTGGACATTTTCTTTCTTTCTTTCTTTCTTTCTTTCTTTCTTTCTTTCTTTCTTTCTTTCTTTCTTTCCTTCTTTCTTTCCTTCTTTCTTTCTTTCTTTCTTGGAGTCTTACTCTGTCGCCAGACTGGAGTACAGTGGTGCAATCTTGGCTCACTGCAACCTCCGCCTGGGTTCAAACGATTCTTCCGCCTCAGTTTCCCGAGTAGCTGGGACCACAGGCACACACCACCACGCCCAGCTAATTTTTTTTTTTTTTTTTTTTTTTTTGTATTTTTTTTAGTGACGGAGTTTAACCATGGCCAGGATGGTCTCGATCTCTTGACCTCGTGATCCACCCGCCTCGGCCTCCCAAAGTGCTGGGATTACAGGCGTGAGCCACCGCACCCGGCGGGTTTGGACATTTTCTAATAACTGTCTTCAGGATAGTCAAATATGCTGATAGACCCACACACATGTTTTTACTTTCAATTTATGATATGCTTTAGTTTTTGAATACACGTTTCTTTCTTTATAATAATCTCAGAGGTTGGTGGAATTCTTCATGGTTTCCTGGAACATTTTGATCATTGCTTTTAAATCTCTGAAACACTAATTACTGGATCACTAAGAGCCTCACTATTGCTCTTGCCTCTCAGGGTATCACACAATTTTTGACAGAATCTTTCATATTTTATATTAAAATCTTTTTAATAGAAAAAGATCCAGATTTTTTTTTCCGAAAAGCGTTTTGCTAACTTTGTGCTAGAAAAATTAAGTGCAGATCATCTTAATTCTGTCAGGGATTAAGCTGCTTAGAGGTTCGAGGACTCATGGGAGGCTTTCTATCCGACAAGCTTAAAGTTCAACATAGCGACATCCCTTTTCAAAACTTGGAATGAAGTAGGTAGTGGACAATACACTGGACTTGGAATAAGAAAAACGGGATTCTGGCAAAATCTAACTGTTAACTACCAGGTTCCACTTGCCCTCAACTAGTCATGTGCACTAGCATTAGATGGGCCAGGATCAGGCTTCAGGGGTGGCTATGGGGGACTTGGACTAAGCATTGTGCTTGGTGCCACCTCCCAGCCACTCTGATTACTTCCCCCAGGGCTGCACAGGCATGCATTTACCCTTCACCTCCTGTCTTACCTTTCGGAGGGTCCATGCAATCCTCTTGCAATTTATTTTTCTTCACTATTATTTAGAATATCGGTATTCTAAATAACTAACAATAAATATCTATTATTTAGAATATTCTTCACTATTATTTAGAATATTGGTATTTTGAAAATCTAACAATAAATATCTATTATTTAGAATATCAGTATTCTAAATAATCGATGTAGAATATTTGGATTTCAGAGTAGTTTTTATGTATGTTAATATAACTTACTTTTCTTAAAATTAATTCACAGATGCTCAGAGTCAGGATCAACATCAGAATCCACTCATGGATTTACATCTGCTGGATGCACAGGTGAATCAGAATTGCTCAGGAGATAGAAAACCTTTTTAAAAATTATTTTTTGCTTGCCTGGTTGGAATTTTTGTTTTGTTCTGTTTTTTACCTGAGATGACATATTTTCTGCTCATCCTAGGAAAAAATAACAGAAAATGTTTTTCAAGTTTTAAAGGATGTGTGATTGGCTAGAAATGAGGGATGAGAAAACATTTGTATTAGCTCCCTGTTTGTATACTGTTTGGTAGAATAAGAATATTTTATCAGCCTAGCAGTGACAATTGTGCATGCTGAGTAGGTGTGGAGTTGTATATTACTTCATGCTCCATAAGTGACTTCAAAAGTCGCTCTTTGAATTACTCTCAGTTGTAATCTTGGCTAAATAAAGGTTGTGAGTCATATGGACAGCTTCCTGCTAATGTAAAGTTTTAAAAAGTAGAAACTCCTTGCTACTAAAATAGTTTTAATTTTTCTAACGTCATTATGCTAGATCCCCTGCCTTCCCTTGGTGTTTATAAGTCTATTAAGGTTTAAAGCAGAGCTGGAGTTGTCTATAACAAACTCTCAATGTTCAGGCTTGGCATCTGTGACAAAAGCCACGGTGTTCTTTCCTGTCCCTTTGGGTCAGCAAATAATGCTTAAAGATGAAACAATCGTGCAATGAAAATAAATACACACCTCAATATATCAAGCAGGTCCTACAAAAATGCTGGTTAATGTTTTAAATGTAAACCAAACAGAAACATAAAATTTTCCTTAAAATACAGATTTCTGAATTAAGGAAGCAGAGGTTTTGCAAAATGCTTGAAGGCCTTTGAAAGCCTTTTCCAGCACTTTCTAAACAGTTAACTTTTTCAAATGCAGTAATAATAAATAATAACAGAACTTTGGCGTATCTGGTTTGTGAAGAAAGAAAAAAATGAAAAGGAAAAGAAAACCTGCAGGCTGGGTGACAGTAAAGGTGAAGGTGACTCCAACCTCAAAAAGAGCTTGGTCCCATTTGGAAAAATTTGATGATTACGTTCATTTTATTTCTCTAAAAATGAGTAACAAAACTCAAAGAGACCGTTTACTGAAAGAACTGACAAATCCACGTCATTTTCTCGATGACTACTTCAGCATCATGCTGCTTTATTTCACAAACTTCCTGCTATTGCCCGGCAATCAATATTCTGGTTTTTGACCAACATTTTCTTAAATGAGGGTTTAGTAGCACATCAACATTGCAGATATTTGAAAAAAAATAAAAGACATAAAACAAGGAAAAATATGGCGATTTCCTTCCTTTGGATGCAGAGCTGTGGTCGGACAACCTTTCGGGAAAGTATAAACAGTAATAAACTATAAGAAAACTAGAACTATTTTGAAAGACAGAGGAGTATTGTAAAAACGCCCAATTCGTTAATGCATGTGAACTTCCGCAATTTCAGTTTCACTGTTTTCTTTTTGCCTTGAGTCACACAGGGCTTCCGGAGCACTAAACTGTTTCCTAGTGTTATTACGGCTTTGCATGCTGGGGTTGGTAAGTTGTGGGAGCAATCTCTTTGGACATCCCGGAGAGTTTATGTGTTTGGTGAACATGAAGCATGACCAATGTCTCCAACAGATCTTCTTTAAAAACTTGCATGTGGACACTGCTTACAAAGCATTCTTTAAAGCTGAGTATTTGGTTCATCTAAAAGAGTGCATTGAACATTTTACTCATGCAGTATTGTGAGATTAATGGAGTCATTTAGGAAAAAGAGATCATAATATAATGCTAAAAAAATGGAATCTGAAGACCTGAAGTCAGAGACCCTAAAATTTGACTTCCAGGCTTTCTACTTGCTCTGTGCATTTAGAAAAAAAATTAATATCTCTAAACAATATTTCCTATTATGTAACACGAAGATGATCTTGTCTAACTCTGAGGGAGAGAGAGAGGATTAAATGAGATAGTACAATATAAAATGCTTAAAATAGCATTTAGCACATTTTAAGTACTCAATATATTCTGTATATTTTTTGTCAGAAAATAATGCCATTATCCTTAACTGGGCATGACAGACCTTATGTGGTGCAGGTGTTTTATTTAAGAAAAATTAAGCCAAGAAGAAAAGTCTGTGACATTGAAATTTGTTCATTTAGGATTAAGAGCATTTTGAGCTCATTTTATATATTTATTTTTCAAATGTGCTGACTATTATTTTTAACATCGTGTTTGTTTATTTATATCTTGCTTCCTCAGCTTTGTAGTGTGAGCAGACACAAACACCTGAGGTGGCAACAGCTATACCCCACATGCAGCTGTACCACACAGGCAGGTATACCACACATGCAGCTATACCACACATGCAGCTATATCACACATGCAGCTATACCACACATGCAGCTATACCACACATGCAGCTATACCACACATGCAGCTATACCACACATGCAGCTATATCACACAGGCAGGTATACCACACATGCAGATTAACTGCACACATGCAGCTATACCACACAGGCAGGTATACCGCACATGCAGCTATACCACACATGCAGCTATACCACACAGGCAGGTATACCGCACATGCAGCTATACCGCACATGCAGCTCTACCACACATGCAGCTATACCACACAGGCAGCTATACCGCACATGTAGCTATACCACACATGCAGCTATACCACACAGGCAGCTATACCGCACATGCAGCTGTACCGCACATGCAGCTATACCACACAGGCAGCTATACAGCACATGCAGCTATGCCACACATGCAGCTATATCACACAGGCAGGTATACCACACATGCAGCTTAACTGCACACATGCAGCTATATCACACATGCAGCTATACCACACATGCAGCTTAACTGCATACATGCAGCTATGCCACACATGCAGCTATATCACACAGGCTGGTATACCACACATGCAGCTTAACTGCACACATGCAGCTATATCACACATGCAGCTATACCACACATGCAGCTTAACTGCACACATGCAGCTATACCACACATGCAGGTATACCACACATGCAGCTATACCGCACATGCAGCTATACCACACATGCAGCTATACCACACAGGCAGCTATACCGCACATGCAGCTATACCAGACAGGCTTCTGTCTATATTTTAGCCAAATGTAGACAGCACTATACATGCAGGTATACCACATACTCAGATACCTTCACAGAAGAAAGTCAGAACACTTTAGGAAGCATCACACTGTGTTTTGTTAGCATACTGGCTTTGTATTTCCTAAAGTGTATATTTTTTTATATTATAAATAAAATAGACCCATCAAATTAATTTCATACAACTTCCTGAAGTGCATATGGTTAACCATTTACTGTTAGACCTTCTTACTGATGACTTTCTTTGTAATTTTTATCATAAATATTTAGTATGGTCACCTGAAATTTACTAATAACTTTTTAACTTGATGGTGATGTCCTGTTTTATAGTTTTGATATTTTAATTTTTAGCCAAATATAGACAGCACTATATTTTCTCCAAAAGAAAAATAGTACTGATTTAGCAAACATGAGCCTCCTTCTAACACAGCAATGCTACTCTTGATTTTCTTCTACATTTTTATTACCAAAATAGAACAAAATATAATTGTGAAATATGTGATTTATATCATCAAACCATCAGGCATTATTGAATGGAAGATGTCTTAAGAAACATATAAAAATGCAATTTTCAAAATAACGAATATATGAGGAATAATGAGGAAAACTGTTCTATGTCAAATAGTCTTCATATGATGTTATGAAAGCAAATACTGGCTGGTTAATCATGTCAGAACACAATAGGAGAGAGGTGAGAACTTTACTTTTTAAATTTTAATTCTCAAATCTATTTTAAGCTAGAATATTTTGATTACATAAAGTGCCAACCTTTAATTATAATAGTACCCTTAGTTAAATATATCTTTTAAATCCTCAAAATATCACTATAAGTTTTTTAGGAGTCTCGAAGACTAATTACATGACCATTACATAGCATGTGGGGTCTTCATTAAGAAATATTTGTTGTTTATATCTTGTCTCTGGGAGCATCGTGTCTTTTAACTAAATATTCCTTGATTTTGCTGAAATTAGACTTCCTAAATACAGTGATCATTCTTTATAAATCTAGATTCCAGTTTGTTAGATTCTAAGCTTGCAACTCATTATTAAATACTGAGTTTCTTAATGCTACATTTGAAATAAATAAGAGGTTCTCCTGTAGATAACTGATATTTCTGCTACAGAAAATTAACTCATCACATGGAGTAGAATGTCTTAAGGCCATGGAGTGAGGAAGGGAGGTAAGTGAAGGGGGTGATAGAAGATTTTATTTTTAAGTATTGTACAACAATGTTAAAATTACATTTTCCAATATTTTAAAGCAATTTTATCTAAGCTTCGGAAGCATATTAAAACAATCCATATTTCAATAAAAGGCAAACATTTGTATGGTGATTTCTGAAATGTAATAGAAAATGCGTTTCTTTAACATGGCATTTTGACATAAGGGGACTTGCAAAAATATAAAGCAAAGCTGTTGAGCAAATATTAATTTTAGATCCCACTTTACCTTCTCTGAGCACTCTTGGAAGATATGATCAATTGACGGCTGTATCAGCTGTGCTTGGTGATGTGCATCTATGTGACACTCCATGTTTTATTCATCTGCTTCAAATTGAATTATTTTTTGCTAAAATTATTTTGCTGCTCTATGTTTTTCTGGTGTTCTGAGATATAATAGATATAGTTTCACAGGCCTCTAAAAATAATGGATAAAATAGCATATCACATACATTTCATTATAAGTGATAAGTGGTAAATAAATACTTTCAAAACAGATAAATGAAATGCTCTTACCTAAACAAAGACTTCCAAGGAGTAGATTTTTGTTTAAACGTTGTATGATTTTGAGACTTTATGTTTTGTTTTTTGCATATATAATAGTGTGTTTGTGGAGTTTAGAGATCAACTTGTCCAACACTCATTCCATAAACGTGGTGAGCGAGTTGGGTGCTGCATGACAAGAGAGGTTGATTTCGCAACATCTTTATGCTACGTGTATGCAACTCTAGGCATTGAATAAAAACAGGTGGGAAACAAAATCGTACAGGCTGAATTCAATAGGTTTAGACAATTCAGAGTACCCTTAACATCTGCTCTCAACGATTACCCTGTGCTAGCAGAAGCCAGCTCTCTTTCTCTGTCTAATGAAGCCTCTCATATTGCTCAAAGGTTTCATTAATGACCTCACCTGGGTAATTATCATAAAAACTATAACAATTCTCTTTTTGCAATATCCTTTTCTTCTCTCTTTTGTTCCCAGATTTGCAAATACTGTCAGATCTCAGCATGACCCTAGCATATATACACAACTTCTGACCAAGAAAGGAAGAAAGTTAACACCAAAACTCGTCCTCCTTCTATCGTAAAATATTACATTATATCAATACCAGTGTTTCCTTGTGTGTAAAATGGACACACACACACACACACACACACAAGAACTTGGGGAACATGTATACCAGTGGGCTCCAAGTGTTCTGTGCCAGTGAACAAGAAATATGATTTCAGACTAGGCCAATTTATAAACAAAGATGTTTTTATTAGAGATAAGAGTTTGAATATGCAGGTTCAAACACCTGGGCAAGTTCTCAGTTGTTGGCTGAAATCTAGACTCTAAGGTGACAAATTTTTTGAGGTTGACGCATCAGATACCCTTGCTTTACTGTGGAGTAGTAAACACAAAGCCTTCAGGAACTAGGTGAGATTCCATGAATGCATCCGGTAACTATGGCCCGGAGAGGATACAGGCAGCATTTTCTTCACAAAGCTGGTGAGAAGTACATCTATGAGTGGAAAAGCAGTGCCCTCAGAAGCACTGTGATATTTGTCCTCTGGAGGTCCTAAAAGACTCTCACAATATTGCTACTGAAATAACTTCCCTAATCCCAACGAGGACAGTATGACCTACAAGTCTCAGAATAAATCCTCAGCTGCCTCAGTCAAAATCCACCTGATATCATGAAGGTGGGAGGGCTAAATAAATAATTGCTTGATTTCAGTGTGGATATTTAATCCATTTAAACTTTCAGAACTGAAATAGATTGGTAGACTTGAGTCATCCTGGTTTCTCATCAATTTGCAGACTTACTGCATGCTTCTGCCACATTCGGACCTCTCCCTCAACCCACACTGTGGCTTCATGGAAAGACTTTTGCAACCATATTGTCTAGAAAAAATATACTGAGCTTGCTTTTTTTTAAAAAATACTTTTTAAAATTTTTAATCAGCAAATAAAAATTGAGTATCTGTGATAATGCGACATGATGCTTTAGCACATGTATACCTTATGAAATGTCTCAATCAAGGGAACTAGTGTGCATTATCTGTACATACTTTTATATTGTGATGAAAACACCAAAAATCTACTCTCTTAGCAATTTTCAGGTATATTACACATTGTTATTAACCCTAGTCACCTTGTGGCACAATTGATCTTCTGAACTTACTTCTCCTATCCTACTAATATTTTATACTCTCTGATCAATATCCCCTTACTCTAGCTCTTCACCACCCCCAGCCTCAGGTATCCACCATGTACTCTCTGCTTGTGTGAATCTGACTGTCTTAGATAACACACATAAGTGACATCACGCAGTGTTTGTCTTCAGTACCTGACTTACTTCACTTAACGCAACGTCCTCAAGGCTCATCATGGTGCTGCAAATGACTCATGCCTATTAGAATGGCTATTACCAAAAAGATGGAAGATAACAAGCACTGGTAAGAATGTGGTGAAAAGGAAACCTTTGTGCCCTATTGGATGGAATGTAAATTATCTCAGCCACTATTTTAAACAGTATGGGGTTCCCTTAAGTAATTAAAAGCATAAAACTCCCATATGACCCAGTATTCCCAATTTTGGGTATATATAAAAAGAAAGTGTGGCATATAAACACAAAGGGATACTTAGTATTCGGTCTTAAAAAAAGGAAATCCTCTCATGAGCCTCATTTTCTACTAGTGCTGTACAGAATGCTGACACTTGTGAAACAATGAAACGTTATGTACTACTCCATAGAACTTGATACTGTTTGGCACTGTGTCCCCACACAAATCTCATGTGAAATTATAATCCCCAATGTTGCAGGAGGGACCTGGTGGGAAGCAATTGGATTATTGGGTAGATTTTTTCCCTTGCTGTTCTCATAGTAGTGAGTGAGTTCTCAGGAGATCTGCTTGCTTGAAAGTGTGTGGCGCTTCCCACTTTGCTCTGTCTCTCTCCTGCCACCGTGTCAAGACGTGCTTTCTTCTCCTTCATCCTTCTGCCATGATTGTAAGTTTCCTGACTTACATGGCCTCCCCAGCCATGCCTCTTATGCAGCCTGTGGAACTGTAAGTCGGTTAAACCTCTTTTCTTTATAAACTACCAAATCTCTGGTAGTTCTTTCTTTTTTCTTTTCTTTTCTTTTTTTTTTTTAATGTTACTTTAAGTTCCAGGAGACAAGTACAGAATGTGTAGGTTTGTTACATAGGTATATGTGTGCCATGGTGGTTTGCTGCACTTATCAGCCTGTCATCTAGGCTTTAAGCCCTGCATGCATTAGCTATTTGTCTGGATGCTCTCTCTCTTCTCTCTCCCCACCCCCTACTGACCCCAGATTGTGTTGTTCCCCTCCCTGTGTCCATGTGTTCTCATTGTTCAACTCCCACTTACTCATAGTAACAACACCTGGTGTTGGTTTTTGTTCCTGTATTAGTTTGCTGAGGATTATGGCTTCCAACTTCATCCATGTCCCTGCAAAGGACATAAACTCATTCTTTTTAATGGCTGCATAGTATTCCATGGTGTATATGTGCTGCATTTTCTTTATCCAGTCTATCATTGATGGGCATTTGTGCTGGCCCCATGTCTTTGTTATTGTAAATAATGCTGCAATAAACATACATGTTCATGTCTCTTTGTAGGAGGATGATTTATAACCTTTTGGGTATATAAAGTTGACCCAGTAATGAGGTTACGGGGTCAAATGATATCTCTGGTTCTAGATCCTTGAGGAATCACCACACTGTCTTGTCTTCCACAATGGTAGAACTAGTTTACATTCCCACCAACAATGTAAAATCTTTCCTATTTCTCCACATCCTTGCCAGCAGCTATTGTTTCTTGACTTTTTAATAATCACCATTCTGGCTGCCATGAGATGGTATCTTAGTGTGATTTTTATTTACATTTCTCTAATGATCAGTGATGTGGAGATTTTTAAATTTTCTTTGCTACAAAAATGTCTTATTTTGATATGTGTCTGTTCACATCTATTGCCCACTTTGTGATGGGCTTTTTTTCCTGTAAGTTTGTTTAAGTTCCTTGTAGATTCTGGGTATTAGACCTCTGTCAAATGGTTGATTTTCTCCAATTCTGTAGGATGCCTGTTCACTCTGATGATAGTTTCTTTTGCTGTGCAGAAGCTCTTATGTTTTATTAAATCCCATTTGTAAATTTTCACTTTCGTTACAATTGCTTTTGGCATTTTTGTCATAAAATCTTTGCCCACGACTATGCCCTGAATGGTATTGCCTAGGTTTTCTTCTAGGGTTTTTATGGTTTTAGGTTTTACATTTAAGTCTTTACTCCATCTTGAGTTAATTTTTGTATCATGTGGAAGGAAGGGGTCCAGTCTCAGTTTTCTGCATGTAGCTAGCCAGCCCTGTGGCCCAGAAGCTGAAGCTTGTCACCAGAGTAAGGAATATGAGGAAGATACCGGATGAATTCCAACAACCGTAACTGTGCTCTTTTAATGAAACTTGATGATAGCGCCATTCTTACTTTTCATAGTTCTTGTTTGTTCTGACATAAACTGGGCTTACACAAATGGAGAAATGGATATGCACTGGCAATGACAACACTACCAGAAATTCGTTAATCTGAAAACAACACTGAACTTGGAATGACTTTTGGTTTGCTCAGCTGCTTTCCAACTCGGAATTTTATCATTCCTCTATGTCCCTAGATCTTGAAAATGAGGATAGTTGTCCTTAGATCATCTCTTGTGTGGCTCAAGACGATTGTTTTTCCAATGTGGCCCAGGGAAGCCAAAAGATTGAACACCCTTGCAAAAGAAGTCATTCAACTGATATCTTTTTCATTTCAGTTGCTCAAGTCTGCCCAAATTCTGTTTTAAAACACTTTTTTTTCCATGAAGAATATCCCGTGTGTGTCAGATTCTTGTACTGAACTATGTTTGATAAAGTTATTTACAAAGGTTGGCAGATCCAGAATCAATCTTCTGATATATATGATATACCATATATGATATATAGCATATCTCTCTATATATGATATGTCATATATTTTATATATAATAATATTTCGTCTCACTATATTTGGCATGGAGAACAACAAAAATTGTCCATAAACAAGCAGCCATGAGCAATATTTTCCTATATTTCTTGTTTTGGAAATCACAGATACTTCCTTAGATAACTGATAATGGTACAAATAAGTAGTATGTGACTCTACTACAGGGTGTCTTATATTTTAGCAGTTTTTAAAATCACCAGATAAAATAGGACATCCACTGAGTCCTCACGTTTCCATGTCTACAGACTGAAGCTCATTCGGGTGACTGCCTGACTTACTTAAAAGCACATAAATCTATTTGATAGCCAGTAAAACTTAGATTTGAAAACCAGAGGGTCAGATCACTTATTCAAGCAATATTTCTTGATGTTGAATTACTGATTATTTAGTAGAAATTTGAACCATGTGACATAAAACATTAATACATTCTTAAAATATCAAATATGATTTAGTAACATAAACTAAATGCAAAAGCTTATTGTGGAACTAAAAATAGATTTAAATGGTTTGAGGAAGCACTTTGGCCCAGAAGGAGATGAATTGGAGTGATTTCTAAGAACTGATTTAGTAAGCCTGGGGTTTTGGGTGGTTTACATTGGCCAGGTCTAACATTATAGACCATTTGGTACTTGACGTTAGTTATTTTAGCAGAAAAGTGAGAAATGAAAATGATGTTTTAAGTATAAAATAACCACAGAGAGGAAAATAGAGTAAAGGAAGAAGGAGCTAAAGGCAATACAAAAAGATAGATGAGCTACACCAGATGGTGAGCCCTGACCAGGAGAGATGGGTCAAGTATAAGCCACAGTTTGGAGAAGGCAGTGTTTTGATGAATGCCATTGAGAAAGAAGGGGATACCCCACCTAGGGAATAAGAGGCTCCTCCTGCCATTCTTCAGCTGTGGGGTTCTTGACTGCCCTCACTGAGCACTCATTTTTATGCTGTGCCTCAGTGGGTGAGTAGGTCTCCTCAGAAATTGCAAAGAAGCCAATGAGAACATCAAACTTGAATTATTCTCTCAGAGTTTATTTTTCTGCTAAAGACTGAAATTCCTACAGTTTAACCACTCAGTAAGCACCATTTGAGAAACAAAGGATTTCATTTGGCAGGATGATCAGGATTATTGAAATACTGAGTTTTTCTATTACACTGCAGGGAGAAATTACATGGAATGAATGACAACAACAGAAAATGTACCAACCCTGAGATAATGGCTGCCATGTTTCTGGTTACACTAATACTGCTAACATTTTGTGGTGGGTCCCTAAGTGTCACCTTGTTATGCAAATATGCTTCCTAGGTGCGACAGCTGGAGAATTTCAGGGCAATGATCCACAGAGACAGGATGATTTTTGGAATTAATGAGTTTAACAATATAATGCTTGCTTCATATTTATTTCAAGGAAAGATCAGTAAGGTTTAAAACCTTTTAATAAGCTTTATTACTATGTTGACAATGTAGAAATGAGATGCTTTAATATGTATTTAGGTCACGTGGGCAGAGATGTTTCTAAATTTCTATTTACATGTGCCTGTGATTATATTTCCCCATAAACATGGAGTTAATATCGCTGTTGAACAACTCTTCCTGTGTGTTTTTACCTTAACTATTTATAATTGAATGACATCTAAATGGAACAGGGAGAGAATAGCCATTCTCTTTCCAAGAGGAAAGAGAATCATATTTATAATATTTGGTGTAAAGTGTGGGAAGAATGGAGTTTTCCATTGCTACACCTCCGAAAATAGATCATTTTGTCTACTCTGTTTATTTTATTTTTTTGATAATGCACATTCCTAGTCTGAAAAAATTTTCAACGTAATCATACTTAGGTTTAAGTCATCTACTATGACATGGTAGACAGAAGGAAATTAATGAATATTTAAGTATTTTTCATACACTGAACATGTCCCAAAGAGTACATTTTATCTCAGAAAAGAATGGTAATATATCCTGAGAAGTTCAAACATTATTTCCACGAAGCAGTTAATGTCAAGTCTTGTAAAATTGGGCCAAGTATAGTATCTTGCATATAGAATGTGCTGAGTTAGTATTTAAATTAATTCATGGGAAAGAATAACATGACAGTTCCTTTAATATAAAAGGGACATGATTATTAACACAAATTCACTCAAGCAATTGATTTCATCTTAGCTTACCAGCTGGATCAGGTCTGGGACCCAGATTATGTCTGGTATCAATGAATATTTGTGTTACACACACCCCCGAAAACTCTCCTATAATTTTCTTCTGATGTTTTACCGGTACAATTTGGGTGCTCTGAAAAACACTAATGGACATATTTGTTATTGATTAAACATGAAAAACATTATGAGAAATGGATTGCTCATATGGGTTATAATACAATAACGTGCTTGTGAATATAAAAAATTGGTTGCAAACGTCCACAAAATGTTTCCCTTCTTCTAAAACCAATAATGCCAATCACTTCAAGTATAAATACATGTGCCATTGTTAAATTCAAGATCCTCTTTCAACTCATTCAGAATTATCTTTCCAGTTTTATTTTATGAGCCACAATATTGCACACAGCCAATGTCACAAAAAGTAGTATCCTGAGACGAGTGAATCTGGAGTCTTTAACTGTGCTCTATCCTGCCAAGTCACAGGTCCCTAGGCATTCACTGAAAGTACTAGTCATTCAAGACCCAGGACTAATGCTTTCTGTCACTGTAGATTGCCTTGTGAAGTTGGAAATCTCCTATGAATAAAATTATTTCATTACTCTTTTGTGTCTGGCTCCTATTGCACAGAGTAATGCTTTTGAGACTTATGCATAGTGTTGCCTATACCAATAGTGCATTTCTTTCATTGTTTTTCTTCTTTGAGACAAAGTCTCCCTCTGTCACCCAGGCTGGAGTGCAAGGAGTGCAGTGGTGCAATCCTGCCTCACTGTAATCTCTGCCTCTCAGGTGCAAGTGGTTCTCCCTCCTCAGCCTCCCTCGTAGTTGGGATTAAGGCATGAGCCACTACACCCCACTAATTTTTGCATTTTTAGTAGAGATGGGGTTTCACCATGTTGGCCAGGGTGGTCTTGAGCTACTGACCTCAAGTGATCCACTTGCCTCGGCCTCCGAAAGTGTTGGGATTACAGGAGTGTGTTTCTTCTTATTTCTTACTATTGCATTTTGTACATGGACCACAATTTATTTATTCATTCACCTGGTGATGAGCATGTGGGTTATTTCTACTCTTGCTATTATGAATGAAGCTATTAGGAGCATTCACGTACAACTCTTTGTGGCAGAGCATTTTCAATTTTTCTGGGTAAATAGCTAGAAGTAAAATTGCAGCATCTTATAGAAAGTGTACAGGTCACTTTAGAAGACACTGGCACAGTGTTTTCCAAAATAGTTACACCATTTCATTTTGCAAACAGCAATGAATGAGAGTTTCCAGCTGGTACTTTGTGTTGTCAGGCTTTTCAAGTTTAACCCTTCTACGGCTATGTGGTGATTTCTTTCATCTCTTTGCTAACTAATTAAGTTGAGAATCTTTCTCCTTTGACGAATATCTGTTCAGTTCTTTTGCCCATTTTATTTGTTTATTTATTTATTTTAAGACAGAGTCTTGCTCTGCACCCAAGCTGGCGTACAGTGGAGCATTATCAGCTCACTGCAACCTCTGCCTCCAGGGTTCAAATGATTCTCCTGCCTCAGTCTCCTGAGTAGCTGGGATTACAGGCATGCACCGCCATGCCTGGCTAATTTTTGTGTGTTTGGTAGAGATGATGTTTCACCATGCTAGCCAGGCTGGTCTCGAGCTCCTGACCTCAAGTGATCCGCTCGCCTTGGCTTCCCAAAGTGCTGGGATTACAGACATAATCTTTGCCCAATTTTAAGTTGGATTGCTGTCTTCTTATCGTGTTGTAAGAGTTCTTTATACTCTGGCTGTTAATTCATTGTCAAGTATAGTACTGTGAATACGTTTTCCCATTCTGTGGCTTGCATTTTCATTTTTACATGATGGTTTTTGAATATCAAATATTCAGACATTTTTGATAAAGTCAAATTTTTCTATTTTTTCTTGATTCATGCTTTTTCAGATTTTACCTGTGAAATATTTGTTCCCTCTGAGTAAAAATAAAAAGCTGGTCTGTTCTCTTCCAGAAGTTATACAGATTTTCGCTTTTACATTTAGGTTTAAGATACATAATGATTTTTAAGGGCCAAAGATATTTTTTTGGTCTTCTTAAATTTTGCAGCCATGTTTTCTAATTTTCTTGTAAAGCTTTTGTATACATTTCTGCAAATATTCCCTAAATGTTATATTTTTTCTGATACTATTCCAAATATTTTATTTCAAGTTCTATTTGTTTACTGTTTGTACATAAAAATGCAATTCATCTTTTATATTGTTATTAATATTCTGAACCCTTGTTAAACTCAATTGTTAGTTCCAGGAGTTTTTTGTAGGGATTAGCTAAGAGTTAAAAAAAGAAAAAAAAAGCAATTATCATATTGACTGTGAAGCAGAAAGTTTTACTTTTCTTCTCCAATCAATGTGCCTTTTCTTTTTCACTTGACCGATTTCCCAGCGACATGTGGACCAGGAGTGGTGAGAAAGGCCAGGCTATCTTTGTTCCCGACCTTAAGGGTAAAGGATTCAGCCTTTCATCATCATGTCTATTGGCATCTGAAGGTTTTTCATGTATATCCCTTGACAGCCTGAAGACATTTTCTTCTACTCACGGTTTCCTGAGAGATTTTGTTTGTTTGTTTTATCATGGATGGATCATTTAGAGAGAACAAAGGTAAACACAAGCTCAGCTGTGATCTATTTTTTACCTGATTCCTTGTAGGACCAACTTGAAGAAATCACAGAAGACAGGAGACTCAACCCAATATCCATCCTGTGACAACTGGACCTTCACATAAATAGATTAATGGTACCAGCTTGAGGAGAGTCCATAGCTGTGGAACACTCTTCACAGAAAGACCCTGGCTTAGAACTGCTTATGAGACACACTCAGAATCAAAGGCATTGTTATGAGGCCCCTGTCCCTGAAGGATGTTCTGTAACCCATGCAGAACTCTGTGGTACAAAATAGAAATGTACAAACAAAAATGATTCATGAGAAAAATTATCTCTACCCATTGAGGAAATAATCTCTTAAATGATAAAAATTTAAACAGTTTTGATAAAGTCCAATTTATCTATTTTTTTCTTTCTTGGCTCATGGTTTCCATCTTTTACCTATAAAATATTTGCCCCCTAAGTAAAAACAAAATGCTCCAGAGAGACTTCATCAATTCAGTCCTAACATCACATGTCAAAAAAGCGAATATGGGACCTGTGAAACTGTACTCCGTGTTTTGGTACTATTCCTGATTTGATTGATCATATTCTTGAATTATTAATTAAGCTTGATATTGGATTAGATTTCTGATCAACATGAGTCCGAATCGACACACAATACTTTGTGCTAAGTGTAAAATTTCTGCCAAATGATTTTTCAGCTTGTAGAGATGTTAGTATAAAGTTAAATCAACTTTGCATTGCTGAGAAAAAAACTATACTTGGTCATAGCATATTAAAACTTTTATATATTATTGGGTTTAATCCGTTAATATTTTGTTATGGATTTTTTGCGAGTATTTTTTTTTAATTATAGTTTTCTTTTTATTGTTATACTTTAAGTTCTGGGGTACATGCACAGAACTTGCAGGTTTGTTACAAAGGTATACACATGTCATAATGGTTTGCTGCATCCATCTCCCCATCATCTACATTAGGTGTTTCTCATAATGTTAGCCCTCCCTAATCCCCCAACCCCCTGCTATACTTCCCATAGCACCCCTGGTGTGTGATGTTCACCTCCCTGTGTCGATATGTTCTCATTGTTCAATACCCACTTATGAGTGAGAACATGTGGTGTTTATTTTTCTGTTCTTGTGTCAGTTTGCTGAGAACAATGGCTTCCAGATTCATCCATGTCTCTGCAAAGGATGTGAACTTATCCTTTTTTATGGCTGCATAGTATTCCATGATGTATATGTGCCATATTTTCCTTGTCCAGTCTATTATTGATGGGCATTCGGGTTGATTCCAAGTCTTTGCTATTGTAAACAGTGCCACAATAAACATACATGTGCATGTGTCTTTATAATTGAATGTTTTACAATCCTTTGGGTACATACCCAGTAATGGAATTGCTGGGTCAAATGGAATTTCTATTTCTAGATCCTTGAGGAATTGCCACACTGTCTTCCACAATGGTTGAACTAATTTACACTCCCACCAACAGTGTAAAATGTTCCTATTTCTCCACATTCTCTCCAGCATCTGTTGTCTCCTGATTTTTTTTTTTTGATGATTGCCATTCTCACTTTCGTGATGTGTATCTCAGTGATTTTGATTTGCATTTCTCTAATGACCAGTGATGATGAACATGTTTTCATATGTTTGTTGGCTGTATAAATGTCTTCTTTTGAAAAGCATTGGTTTATATCCATTGCCCACTTTTTTATGGGGTTGTTTTTTCTTGTAAATTTGTTTAAGTTCTTTGTAGATTCTGGATAGTAGCCCTTTGTCAGATGGGTAGATTGCATAAATTTTTCCCATTCTGTTGATTACCAGTTCATTCCAATGACAGTTTCTTTTGCCTTGCAGAAGCTCTTAGGTTTCATTAGATCCCATTTGTCTATTTTTGGCTTTTGTTGCCATTGCTTTTGGTGTTTGAGTCATGAAGTCCTTGCCCATGCCTATGTCCTAAATGGAATTGCCTAGGTTTTGTTTTAAGGTTTTTATGGTATTAGATCTTATGTTTAAATCTTTAATCCACCTAGTGTTAGTTTTTTGTGTAACGTGTGTGGAAGGGATTCAGTTTCAGCTTTCTGCATATGGCTAGCCAGTTTTCCCAATACCATTTACCAAATAGGAAATCTTTTCCCCATTGCTTGTTTTTGTTAGGTTTGTCAAAGATCAGATGGTTATAGATGTGTGGCATTACTTTGGACGCCTCTGTTCTGTTCCGTTGGTTCATAGCTCTGTTTTGATTACTGTAGCTTTACAGTGGAGTTTGAAGTCAGATAACATGATGCCTCCAGCTTTGTTCTGTTTGCTTAGGACTGTCTTGGCTATATGGGCTCTCTTTTGGTCCCATATGAAGTTTAAGGTGTTTTCTTCCAATTCTGTGAAGAAATCAATGCTAACTTGATGGGGATCGCATCCATGATGAACATTGATATGAAAATCTTCAATAAAATACTGGTAAACTGAATCCAACAGCACATCAAAAAGCTTATCCATCATGATCAAGTAGGCTTCATCCCTGGAATGCAAGGCTGGTTCAACATACACAAATCTATAAATGTAATCCATCACATAAACAGAACCAAAGATAAAAACCACATAATTATCTCAATAGATGTGGAGAAGACCTTTGACAAAATTCAACAGCCCTTTATGCTAAAAACTCTCAATAAACTAGGTATCTATGAAAGGTATCTCAAAATAATAAAAGCTATTTATGACAAATCCACAGCCAATATCATACTGAACGGGCAAAAACTGAAAGCATTCTCTTTGAAAACTGGTGCAAGACAAGGACACCCTCTCTCACCACTCCTATTCAACATAGTATTAGAAGTTCTGGCCAGGGCAATCAGGCAAGAAAAAGAAATAAAGCATATTCAATTAGGAAAAGAGGTAGCCAAATTGTCTCTTTTTGCAGACAACATGATTGCATATTTAGAAGAGCCCATCGTCTCAGCCCCAAATCACCTTAAGCTGATAAGCAACTTTAGCAAATTCTCAGGATACAAAATCAATGTGCAAAAATCACAGGCTTCCTATACACCAATAACAGACAAACAGAGAGCCAATCCCATTCACAATTGATATAAAGAGAATAAAATACCTAGGAATACAACTAACAAGGGATGTTAAGGACCTCTTCAAGGAGAACTACACACTACTGCTCAAGAAAATAAGAGAACACAAACACGGAAAAACATTCCATGGTCATGTTTGGAAGAATCATGTTAGAAAGAAAATATGTTGTTAGGAAGAATCAATATTATGAAAATGACCATACTGTGCAAGTATGTTTATGAGGATTGATCTGAAGTTTCTTTCATTTTCTTGTAATATGTCTTGTTATAATGTCAGTGCAACAATGGCATCATAAAGTAAGCTGTAAAGTATTTATACTTCTGTTTTCTGAAAGAGAATTATGTAGGTTTGGTATAATTTCTCCCTTAAACATTTGAGAGATCTCAGTAAAAATATTTGGGCCTGAAGTTTTCTTTATGGAGAGGTTTTAGTTACAAAATATTTTTTTAAAGTAGATATTCAAACTCTGTAATTTTGTAAGTCTTCTGTTAGTTTTGTTAATATGTATCTTTCAAGAAATGTGACCTAATGTTTATAATTTTTATTTCATATCCTTTTTATGTTTACATAGTAATAGCTTTTCTTTCACTTCTGCTATTAATAATTTGTTTTCTCTCCTGTTTTTTTGCTAATATAGCTAGAGATTTATAATTTTATTAGTATTTTCATGAGACAACTATTGATTTTATACATTTTTCAATTTGTTATCCCTTTGCCATTTTATTAATTTCTGCTCTTATCATTATTATTTTCTTTCTTTTACTTAATTTGTAATAAACAGACTATTCTTGTTTCTTAAAGTGAAAATTTATACCACTGATTTGAGCCTCTTCTCCTCTAGTGTATTTATAAGTATATTTTTTTCTTTAGGCACTGATTTTGCTGCATACCCGAAATATTGTGTATCATTTTAACATAATTTAATTCAAAATATTTTCTAATTTTAAAAATTTTTTTGTTTCATGGATGTCTTTGAAGTGTATACTTAATTTTTAAATATTCAGGAATTTTTTTTCTGGGTGTTTTTGCTATTAATTTTTAATATATTTTCTATTATCATCAGTGCATTCACACTCTTTGTGATTTTGCATTTTCTATGTTTAGAAAGAAGTATTCTCAGACCTAGTATAAAGTCTGCCTTAGTGAGTCTTCCATGTATTTCATTAAAAAAAATGCCTTCTTTTGTTTTGGCTTTTAGTGTGCTGTATTAAGTCAGGCTGGTTGATAGTCTTTGATAGATGTAGATAGTGTTTTATATCTGTTTCCTTAAAGATTTTCTTCTTGTTCTATAAATTACTGATGAAAGTGTATTGAGTCTTTAACAATAATTGTAAATTTCTTTGTATTTGCTTTTTTAATTCTATGAGATTTTGTTTCAGGCATTTTACATTTCCGTTATTAGTTGCATATATTTTGAATTTCAGTGAGCTTCTCATTTGTTGATTACATTATGAATTACCCATTATTGTCCTCGGAAATAGTTCTTGTTCTGACATTTGTTTGTTTAATCTTCGTATAACCATATTTTTGTAAGATCCATTTTTTTAAATTTAATCACTTAACTTTCAGCTTACCTAAATATTTTTACGTAAAGAAAGTTTTTCTTGTAGGCATCAAATAGTTGAGTCATTCTTTTTTATCCAGTCTGACGAGCTTTATATTTGGAATGTTTAGATATTTATAGTTCATATAACTTTGGAGTATTTGGATTTAAGTCCCAGTTAAATAATATGTATTATCTATGTGTCCCATTTGTTCTTCGTTTCTTTTCTCTTACTCTTGCGTGTTATCTTGGATAAACTTTACTTAAGGCTTTTGGTTGTTTGCTTTCCATTTTACCTGGTTGGTTGGTTAATAGATAAAACTGTTTGCTTGTATGTGTGTGTGTGTATGTGTGTGTGTGTGTGTTCAGTCAGTGATTTAAAATTTACACACGTACAATTTATTATAATCTCCTTTAAAATTTTATGATGCCACTTCATGTAAAAGTCAAGGAGCTTTTAGCAGTAATTTCCATTACCCTTTTCTCAAAATGTGTGCTATGTTTTTCAAATGTTTTAGTTGCATATAGGTTATCAACTCAAAAATACATGTGGTTAACATTTGCATTTATAGGCTATTTTAAATAAAAAACTAAAAATCTTTTTATGTCTTTTTAAATTTTTGCATTCATTTCTATACCCACATTTTCTTGTTTATGTGGCCTTTATTCTTATATGTTGATCTATGATTCCCCCAAGTATCTTTTGTTTTTTTAAGCCTAAAAAAGCCTTTTTAAATATTTTCCTAAGTATAGATTTGCTGGTAAAAGATTACCTCAAATTTTACCCATCCTAAAATATATATATTTTACCTTTAATTTTTGAAAGATATCACTTGATAAATAATTCTGAACTGACAGTCCTTGTTTCAGCACTCTGAGAGTTAGTGTTTAAATTTCGTATGTCTTGCCTTGCCCCTGATGTTAAATGTCATCCTTTTACTTCTCTCCTTACAGAAAATCTGTAACGTACTTTTCTATCCAATATACTGTATATACATTTTAAGTATTGTCTCTTTGATTGTTTGTTTACAATCTGATTTGATATACCTTATTGAGATTTTGTTTTTATCTTGCTGGAGTTTGTCGTGCTTCTTAGATCTGTACGTTTAGAATTTTCGTGAAATTTGAAAAATTGGTGGCCGTTGTTTGTTTAAACCTTTTTGCCCTTCCTCTCTCACTTTTC